ACCTTGATGCCTCTCGTGGTGTCCCCTATGTGTCTTCCAACCTGGCTGGCAGAGAAGAGCCTGGTAGCAGATGGGCTGTGGCTAATTAAACCCCTAACCCTCCCTTTCAGCCAGGCCTGCTGGAGTACTCTCCCTCGAGGCAGGGATTGACTCCCTATTCACCCAGGATTGACTTCTTGGCTCCTCCTAGAGTTTATGTTGGGATGGGATTTACCTCTGAGATTTGCCGATAGTGAGAACAACATTGTTAATAGCCCTCATGGGTTCCAGAACTTTACAACCAATGGGGCAGCTTTTACTGACGTTATTCCATTTGGTCCCCAGAACAGCCAAGGGAGACAGGCAGGTCAAGAGGAGGAAATTGAGGTCCAGAGAAGTGAAATGACTTAGTGATGCTTATGCTAATGTTTAGTATTAAAGCTACATGGCAGACCCAGAACTTCATCCCCAGGACCGTACTCTGCATATGGGTCAGGGCAGAGGGTCTAAATAGGGTCCTGGGTTTGAATACCAGTTCTCATATATTTTAGTTATGGTTGGGAAGATCCCCTAGAGAAGGGATGGCTACCCACTCCAGTATTCTTGGACTTCCCTGGCGGCTCAGGCAGTAAAAATCTGCCTGCAATGTGGGAGACCTGGGTTCAGTCCCTGGGTTGGGAAGATCCCCTGGAGGGCATGGCAACCCACACCAGAATTCCTGCCTGGAGAATCCCCATGGATGGAGGAGCCTGAAGGGCTAATCCACGGGGTCGGAAAGAGTTGGACACAACTGAGCCACTAAGCATAGCATGTCACTTTAGGCAAGTTACTTTAACTCTGAGTCTGAATTTCTCCATCTATAAAATAGAACATAACAATATTACCCATCTCACAGAGTTGTTGAGAGGATTTAATGAGATAACTTAAATTGAAGAAAGTAGGGAAAACCACCAGACCATTCAGGTATGACCTAAATCAAATCCCTTACTATTATACTGTGGAAGTAAGGAATAGATCTGATAGACGGAGTGCCTGATAAACTATGGACAAAGGTTGGTGACATTGTATAGGAGAAAGGGATCAAGACCATCTCCAAGGAAAAGAAATGCAAAAAAGTAAAATGGCTGTCTAAGGAGACCTTACAAATAGCTGTGAAAAGAAGAGGAGCGAAAAGCAAAGGAGAAAAGGAAAGAAACCCATTTGAATGCAGAGTTCCAAAGAAAAGCAAGGAGAGATAAGAAAGCCTTCCTCACTGATCACTGCAAAGAAATAGAGGAAAACAATAGAATGGGAAAGACTACAGATCTCTCCAAGAAAATTAGAGATACCAAGGGAATATTTCATGCAAAGATGGGCAAGATAAAGGACAGAAATGGTATGGATCTAACAGAAACAGAAGATATTCAGAAGAGCTGGCAAGCATACACAGAACTATACGAGAAAGATCTTCATGATCCAGATAATCATGATGGTGTGATCACTCACCTAGAGCCAGACATCCTGGAATGCGAAGTCAAGTGGGCCTTAGGAAGCATCACTACGAACAAAGCTAGTGCAGGTGATGGAATTCCAGTTGAGCTATTTCAAATCCTAAAAGATGATGCTGTGAAAGTGCTGCACTCAATATGCCAGCAAATTTGGAAAACTCAGCAGTGGCCACAGGACTGGAAAAGGTCAGTTTTCATTCCAATCCCAAAGAAAAGCAATGCCAATGAATGCTCAAACTACTGCACAACTGCACTCATCTCACACGCTAGTAAAGTAATGCTCAAAATTCTCCAAGCCAGGCTTCAACAATACGTGAACCATGAACTTTCAGATGTTCAAGTTGGTTTTAGAAAAGGCAGAACAACCAGAGATTAAATTGCCAACATTCGTTGGATAATGGAAAAAGCAAGAGAGTTCCAGAAAAACATCTATTTCTGCTTTATTGACTATGCCAAGGCCTTTGACTGTGTGGATCATCACAAACTGTGGAAAATTCTGAAAGAGATGGGATTACCAGACCACCTGACCTGCCTCTTGAGAAATCTGTATGCAGGTCAGGAAGCAACAGTTAGAACTGGACATGGAAAAACAGACCGGTTCCAAATAGGAAAAGGAACACGTCAAGGCTGTATATTGTCACCCTGCTTATTTAACTTATATGCAGAGTACATCATGAGAAATGCTGGGCTGGATGAAGCACAAGCTGGAATCAAGATTGCCGGGAGAAATATCAATAACCTCAGATATACAGATGACACCACCCTTATGGCAGAAAGTGAAGAAGAACTAAAGAGCCTCTTGATGAAAGTGAAAGAGGAGAGTGAAAAAGTTGGCTTAAAGCTCAACATTCAGAAAACTAAGAATAGGGCATTTGGTCCCATCACTTCATGGCAAATAGATGGGGAAACAGTATAAACAGTGGCTGACTTTATTTTCTTGGGCTCCAAAATCACTGCAGATGGTGACTGCAGCCATGAAATTAAAAGACACTTACTCCTTGGAAGAAAAGTTATGACCAAGCTAGATAGCATATTAAAAAACAGAGACATTACTTTGTCAACAAAGGTCTATCTAGTCAAGGCTATGATCTTTCCAGTAGTCACGTATGGATGTGAGAGTTGGACTATAACGAAAGCTGAGCGCTGAAGAATTGATGCTTTCGAGCTGTGGTGTTGGAGAAGACTCTGGAGAGTCCCTTGGACTGCAAGGAGATCCAACCAGTCCATCCTAAAAGAAAACAGCCCTGAATATTCATTGGAAGGACTGATTTTGCAGCTGAAACTCCAATACTTTGGCCACCTGATGCGAAGAGCTGACTCATTTGAAACGACTGATTCTGGGAAAGATTGAAGGCGGGAAGAGAAGAGGATGAGGTGATTGGATGGCATTATGGACTCAGTGGACATGAGTTTGAGTAAACTCTGGGAGTTTGTGATGGGCAGGGAGGCCTGGAACGCTGTGGTCCATGGGGTCGCAGAGTCGGACATGACTGAGCGACTGAACTGAACTGAATGAGATAACAGGCGTAGGGTATTTGGAGTGAAACACAATTATGGAATATTACTCCAGGAGTTTTGTTTGCATTTTCTAGCAATACACAGGGGAGAGGCTGCCTGCATACATTCAGTTTCCCAGGAAACTAGTGATATTCATCTCCTGCAGGGGAAGATGCACTTTTCATGGGTTCTTAGGGTCTCTAGATGCCTAATAGCTGGCTTTATAGATACTGTACTTCTATAGGATGTCAACAGCTGGCATCCAAGCTTAGACTGCTTAGTACCCAGCAGTTGGTTTGTTCTACTTATAAAGTTGCTCTCTTATTCCCTTTCCCCCAAAAAGGAAAGCAATGAGGGTCAGGGTCACCATGCCTCTATCTTAGGGTATATCTGTGTGAGTTGTTAGCAGCCAGCACTCAGCTGCTAGAGGACAGACCACTGTCTACTCCAGTCTATCCCTTGAACCTCTCAGATGTATTCACTTTTTAAAAAGTTTTTCTAACGTGGACCATTTTAAAAGTCTTTATTGAGTTTGTTATAATATTGTTTCTTTTTGTTTTGGTTTTTTGCCTGTGAGGCATGTGGGATTTTAGGCTCCCCCACCAGGGATTGAACCTACATCCCCTGCACTGGAAGGCAAAGTCTTGGCAACTGGACCACCAGGAAAGTCCTAGATTCATTGACTTTTCAAAGTTCACTCTATTTGGACATAGGGTTTCCAGAATTCTGACTGGTCACATTTTCAAGGGACATTTCCAAGAAAAAGATTAGTTGAATTAACGACTGCCCCTGCGGCTGCAGTCAGTCCCAAGGCTGCAAGCAATCCTCCTCTTCTCCCTCCTCGTTCACCCATTCTAGCTCCCCTTCCCCTTTTCCTTCACATTCAATCATTTCAGTGGATCTAGATGGAGTCCCTTCTAGCATGATCCAGATCCTCGTCCATGTCAGCTCTGAACCCCTGGTTGCTATGCCTCATCATGCTGTGGTTGTTTTCTTGGTCCACTAAGAGTTAGAGTTGGCAGAAATAAGAAATGCTTACTTGCCTGAGTGCCAACCTCCCAGTCCCCATTATGGAAGAGCAATTTTCCTTCCTCCTGAAGATCACAGTAAATTGCCCTTGTAAACATGGTAACTCCTCTTGGTGACTGCTGGTCTGCTCTCACAGTGAGCTTAAAATGACCAGGCAGAAGTGGTAGCTTTAAATTTAGTGAGATTCATTGTGTCTCCAGTTGAATCAGGACTGCTTAATGCACAGAGGCCAGAGTCATCAGGACTGGAAACACAAATTTCCCCAGTTGGGTCACTGAGGGTAATGATGAGTGGAGCCACTCTAACTTCCACCCACCAGTTCTTGGCAGGAAGCATCCCTTTTTAATGGACATCCAAGCTGAAAACAGATCCATTCCATTGGACAAGAACACGGACCCTGTGACCACTCCCTGACTGGAGAAGCTAGTGGTTTTCTTATGTAATCTTCTCAAGCCTCTCGCCCAACTGCACTGCTGACTCATGAATATTTGTTAAGAAACAAGTGATATCAAGGCCAAAAATAGAAGAACTTACAGGAAAATTTTAACATTGAATCAAATGCTAACTTCTTGGCTCCTTCAGTCCCCTCCTGTTGCTTCTCTCTGTCATATTGCCTTATAGTACTTCTTTGGGTCTGAATCTCCAGTTAAACGATAAATACCATAGGAGCAGCAAATAGGTCTGGTTTATTTCTGTCTCCTGCAGATCAAGTAAAGATTTTTAATATGAATCACTGGATGATCAAATTTTATTCATCCTGTTAATGACTGGGGGAAATTGTGAAAATCAATTATTCTGTGGCACCAGTGGGAAGACTTCTTGATCCATTATTTGAGGACCAGGTTTTAGGTGTCTGATCAACCAAATGAAGTCAATTTGGGTTGCCATAATTCATTTTAAAATGTTTATTGTGTTTATTCCGTACTGGGCATTGTCATTTGTGTCCAGGGAGCTGAATTAGTTGTAACTAAGGATCAAGGGCCCTAGAATTCCCTAGGTTCTGGGGACATGCTATTTTGGTGATGGCTGCTTTGACATCCTTGTTCCTCAGCGTGTAGATGAGAGGGTTGAGGACAGGTGTGAGAATGGCAAATACCACGTTGCCCACGATGTGGAAGTCGAGGGGCAGGTCAGCCCTGTAGGCCACGTAGGCTATGGCAATGGATGAGTAGTAAGTGCCAACCACCAGGAGGTGGGAGCTGCAGGTGGAGAAGGCTTTGGAGCGTCCTTCTCGGGAGCTGATGCGAAGCACTGAGGCCAGGATGTGGGCATAGGAGAGAAGCACCAGGAGAAGGGGCAGGAAGGACACCACCATGGCGATGCAGAAGCCCATGAAGGTCTGGGGTGTGGTGTCAGAGCAGGAGGCCTGGACCACAGCTAAGTGGTCACAGAAGCAGTGGTAAATGTGAGCGATGTTTTCAAAAGTCATGTGCGAGGTCTGCACCACTGCTGGGATGGGCAGAAGGAGGGCAGTGAGCCAGGCACTGGCTGCCAGGGCAGCATTGGTCTGTGGGGTCATGAGCACAGGGTAGTGCAGTGGGTGGCAGATAGCCACATAGCGGTCATAGGCCATGACCATCAGGATGAAGGCTTCAGAGCAGTTAAGGCCATGGAAAAGGTACATCTGCAGGAAGCAGGCAGAGAAACTGAGGTAGTGGTCCCCAAACAGGAATAGGGACAGTATCTTGGGGACAGTGGTTGTAGTGGAGAGGATGTCCAGGGCTGAGAGGTTGATCATGAAGAAGTACATGGACTTGTGAAGGCTAGGCTCTATCACCACGGCCACCAGGATCAGGGCATTTCCCACCAGGATGAGCAGGTAGATTAAGAGGAAAATGACAAAGACAAGGAGGAAGAGGGATTCAGGCAGAGAGGGGATGCCCACCAAGTAGAAGACAGGTGAGGAGCCCTTTGATCCACTGCAGGTGGCTTCCATTGTGAGTCGGTGCTGGATATCAGCAGACAGACACTGGAAATATCAATAGATTCCTGTTAACCAGAACAAGCATGAAAATGTCAACTGAAACACATATCTTTTTCTTTCCAACCATGGATTTCAATCCTAACAGTTTCTTTGTGTCTAGAATTTCATTGCACGACTAAGATGCCCAGGATGGTGAGTTGTCTAAGGAGCATTGGTTGCAAAGCTGGTCCTGTCTGGTGGGGAAGAGAAATGAACATAAACCCCTGAAGGGCACATACCAAGAACTGGGGCCAGTGTGAGCAGCTCCAGGGATGCAGAGAGTCCCACACATGAAATAAGTTTCTTACAATCTGCATTATCCCACGTGGCAAAAGACTGGCTTGAAAATGAGCAAATTTCATATAACTAGAAGTATGCAAAGCTGGGGTCTTTTTGGCTAAAATGGTGCAGAGGAAGTTTAGAATAGGAGCTAGATTAAAAACCTTTAAGCAACTGTCTGATCTTAGGTCCATTGGTTCTTTTTAAAAAGTAATATAACTGAGTGACATTAATCAGAACTTGGAGAATTCCCTTTCTATGATGTCTTATTGATAGAGACAGCTGCGTTCTTCAAGGACCACTACAAAATGCCATCTGCTTCAGCTGAGAACAGCTCTTCTTTCCATGCAGCTGCTGCTGGGGCTCTGTCTGTCTCAGTCTAACATGAATGCCCTGGGACCTGTCCTTGGATCATGTCTCTTTGTCATGTCCAGGGACCAACCATCCTGCGCTGCCCAGATCTGCCTGGTTTTAGCACTCCTAGTGCCATGTCCCAGGAAATCCCTTAGTCCCTGGCAAACTGGAATGTTAGTCGCCCTACAAGGGTAGAAGCATTTTATATGCCTTTGGTAAAAGGAGTCATTTCCCCAGTGAATCCAAGTGGAACATGGATTCTCCACCTATTGGGAAAAAAAGAAAAAAACAGACTCCCAGGCACTTCCTGGACCACTCCATGGTCTTCCCCACATCGGCTGCTGCAACTCAGCAGATATCACTGTTTAGCCACTTCATGCCCACTGCCTGGGCCCCAGCCCAGAGTGCACCACAGAGAACTCAGACATCTCAGAAGCAGTGTCAGGAGAGAAGGCCAAGCCCTCTGCAGAGAGTAACTCCGCTCCTGGGAGACCACTGAAGAAAGCTACTGAGGATGCGTGGCAGCCCAAGCCCCCCTGAGTGAGACTTTCCAACCCTCAGAACTGAGCCAATGGCAGTGTTGACTCACCCTTCACCTTGACTGAGCGATCCAGGGCCAGGTTACATTGATGTTCACTGCCTCTCTGCCCCAGGAGCCCCTGGAGCAGATCCACTTGATTTTCCAGAACCATCTCCAGCGTCCCTCCCTCTTCTAACAAAAACCTTCTTGTGTCAAAGATTATGTAAGCACGAAAAATTGCTTGCAGACAGTTGAATCCCTGACCCTTTCTTTCACAAATGAATCTTCAGGCTGGGGTGGGAATGGGGAGCAGCCTCAGGTCAACAGCTGGTCTGCACCAACCTTGGTCCTGGAATCTAGGCCTTTGGATCTGGTCTTAGACTCTTTCCACCAAGACAGGCCACCTGGAGGATTCAGAAGCTCTGATTTCCACCTGGAGAAAAAATAGGCCAAAATTTTTCTTTTCCTCTCTCTGTTTCTTAGACTGCTATCAAAGACTGTTATGAATTTCTCTTTTGTTCTGAGGGTGTTTTCAAACAGTTTCAAGTGGACTGGTTACTAAACAGAGGCTCTGCATGGCTAGAAAAAAAAAAAAGCTATTCTCAAGAAGTGACTTAAGGCGACTTCCCTGGTGGTCCAGCGGTTGAGAAAGAGCCTTGCAATGCAGGGGACCCAGGTTTGATCCCTGGTGGGGGAACTAGGACCCCTCATGCTGCGGGGGAACTAAGTCTGAGTGTCACAACTACTGAGCCTGCGAGCTACAACTAGAGAGTCTGCAACGCAGGGAAAGATCCCACATTCTGCAACTAAGACCTGATGCAGCCAAATAAATTTTTAAAAAAGAAAGAAATGACTTAAAGAAGAGGTGGACTGGATGAATCTGCAAGCAGAAAAGTCACAGCAGTCAGTGCACCCGTCCTGAGTAAAACTGCTGTACACTTTGTGCCTGGTAGAAGCTAGCTCATAACAAACCCTCTGCAAATACTTTTTAAATAAATGAATTAATGAATGAGACGGTTAACCTGAGTTCAAATTAACTTTTTCCCATAATGGACAATCAGCAGGGATTTTACTTTCTTTTGTTTTAGCATCTAAACTAATACAAACCATATTTCCGGGGAAGCTGATACAATTCTGAGATGCTGTTCTCTCCCCACTGACTGAGCCCATGTAAGTGGGTTGTGTGAGGTTTGTGTGAGGTTTGCATGGCTGCCACAGAATATCAGAGCCAGAAGGCTCCTTAAAAGCAAGCAAGGTAGTCCAATTCCCATGGTCCTCCCCTCATTTATCCAATAAAGTAACTCAGAGAAGGGAGCGACTTGCTCAATCAAGGTCACACAAGGAGATGAAAGTCAGGTCTCTGACTCCCTGCCCAGGGCTCCCAAGGGTCCACCACGGAAGAGGCACTGAAGCGCCCCTGTCTGGCAGCCCTGATCATTCCTGTTTCCCTCACCAGCCTGCCACTTTCTTGGGGCTGGAGACTGAGCCGGCTCCTCTCCTGTAAAACCAGCATCTCTGTGGGGCCTGGCACCTCACTTAGTGTTTCCACAGAACTGTCCTGACAACCCCCAGGGCTTTCCCTCCAGCGTTCTGTGGAATCAGACCCTGATTCTGTGAAAGCTTCTGGCCCTGCTCCCTTACTGTTGCTAATAGGGAGGAGGAGGCCTAGAGAGGGGCTGTGCCTAGCCATGGTCACACAGTCAGTGAGTCAGCAGCCAGCCTGCATGCCCAGTAGCTTCAGCCATGTCCTATTCTTTGCAACCCCATGGACTGTATGTAGCCCACCAGGCTGCTCTGTTCATGAGATTCTCCAGGCAAGAGTACTGGAGCGGGTTGCCATGCCCTCCTCCAGGGGATCTTCCCAACTCAGGGATCGAACCCATGTCTCTTACATCTCCTGCATTGGCACGCAGGTTCTCTACCACTAGCACCAACTGGGAAGTCAGCCTGCAATGCTATAAATTGAGGCAGAAAGAGTTTAGCCCATTTCCCTTCTCTTGGGGCCCCTCTCATTGTGGGGTGAAGGTCCCTGACTGTCTGCCCCCTTAAACCATGTCCTTCCAGAGCCTTGTCCCTCCTTGGGCTCTGACAGGCTCTGGGCACGTCCCTGTAGCCTTCAAGTCAACATGATGGGGGCTCAGCTCACCTGCAGCTCAGCTCACTCCAGCTGCCCCTTCCTCTCCCCAGGCCAGTGTCACCTCAGGAGGGAGGACCAGGCTGGGGCTGAAACTGGTTTCATTAGTCCCCTAAGCCCTCATCCCTAGCCTGCTGGGGTCTTGTCCCCAGAGGCCCCCTTCTATCAGGGCCCTGTGTATTGCTTTTCTGGGGACTCCCAAACGGCTGGTTAGCAGCTACCACTGGGCTTTGCTAGATATGAGAACAACAATATTAATAGTCCTCACTGGGGCACAGAACTCTGTGGTCTATGGAGGCTTTCCCACCAATTGAACAACAATTCAGAACCCCATGTGACAGGTAAGGAAACTGAGGTGCAGAGGTGAAAGGAATTGACCAATTTACACAGGACAAGCAGAATCGAGATCTCAAGTTTGCTAAGTCTTAGTCTAGCCTCTGAGCCAACCAACCACACAAATGAGAAAAAGTTTGTGGAAAAATCTCCATGTAATGGTAAACTGTGCTATTGGCCAGAGGATGGGGTGTGGGGAACTTCTGAAGGTTCTGAAGCTAGAGGAACAGGTATTACAGAGCAGAGAGTTACTCGGTTTCCCAAATGTTCACTCTCTCTCTCCTTGGCTTCTCTTACTCTGTCTTAGATGGAGTTTGTTCTCCATCCAATGAGTCTGGGAGGCCATAGAGTGGATATGTGCTCAGACCCTGGTGGCAGACCAATTTGGGTTCAAGCCTGGCTTGGAGCTCTCTGAGATTCTATTTCCTCTTCTGTTGAGCGGGAGTCTGTTCTGTGCAAGCTCTGTACTGCTGAGGTGCAGGGTGAGAAGAGGTGAAGGGGGCCAGCAGTTGTCAGAAGCATCTTCCACCCAGGTAACATGACCCTGCCTCTCTCCCAGGGCTGTGGGAAGGCCCACAACATCCCCAGTCCAGGTCTCTTCCATCTAAGAAAGTGGATGGGGTGGCCCAGAAATGTCTCCAAGAGGAGTCCATGCATCTCAGGAACATTTTTTTAAAATTTATAGGTTCCTTTACTTTTTATTTCAAAATTATTTTATTTATTTTTGTGGCCATTCTGTGTGGCATATAAGATCTTATTTCCCTGACCAAGGACTGAACCTGTGCTCCCTACAGCAGAAGGATGGAGTCTTAACCACTGGGCCACCAGGGATGTCCCATCTCAGGAATAGTTTTGAGCTCTGAACAGAAGACACAGCCTGGCCCTCTAAATTCCTCCCCGCCCTGCTCCCACCCCCAGTGGAGGCCAGCTGCCTAAGCCACTCTGCCCTGGAAAGTCGTCAGTGACACTGTCTATCTCCGTCTCACCCCTACTGCTCCTCACCTTCCCTGGCGTCAGGCTCCGACAGATCCAAGAGGCTGGAAAAGGAAGGTGCCAAGGAGAAAAGGGAAGTTATAAATACACTGGGGGAGAGACTGGGTGTGGGCAGGAGGCTCCTGGAGTGCTGGGGAGGAGAGTCCAGAATCCAGGGCCATCACTGGGGCCTCCAGCACACTCATCACTGTCACCATTGTTTCTTCCACCAGGAGGCAGTGTGCCATTGGCTTTGGGGGCCACACACTTAAGTTCAAATCCCAGCTCCTCCATTTGGGCAATGACGTCACTTTGTCTCCCCTTCAAGAACAGTAGGTAACAGTAGTGGCTATATTGGCTGGAGTGAAGGTTTAGTGAGAC